CTAAAGCCACGACAGTAATATCAGTCTGTATATGCAGTAAAGCATGCTTGTAATACTCACTGTGTGTAAAAAAGCTGTTTGATCCTGTCTTCTCTGATCCTCCCCTTCTTCCATTGCCCCATTCTTATCTCTTGATAAGGCATATCGTGTGGCTCTGCACATGCTCAGTTTGGTGTGTATTGCTAGGGAGGTTTTTTTTTTCTTTGGGAGGGTGCATGTGATCAGCAAAAGGCCAATCAGCTGTCCAGACAGAGCATCTGGGGTCCTGCAGTCTCATAGGACAGTCGGAGCAGAATGAAAACTCCTCCTACAAGCTTTAACCAGTGCTCAGCTGGACACTGATAGAAGTCACAAGACTGCTGTAACTGCTGATGAGAAAAGGTATTTAGCGAATTATATTTACTAAAATATTTGCATTTCCATGTTGTGTGTGCTGTGGGAGACCAGATACAATGAATGCATAGTCCTGGGTTTAGTAACACTTTAAGAGCTGATACTACAAAACAACAACAGCTGCAACTACAGGGATGAATAGAGGATATGTACACATTTTCAAAGTTAGAAAAAAAATATTTCAACAGTACTGATACAGCGTTTTGATCCAGTGATTAATGCTTTTTATTATTACTTCATGTAATTAAGGCGACTTTAGTACTTTTAAAGTACTTTAATACTTTAGTTCCAAAATACTAAAGTACTTTAAAGTGCTTTTAGTACTTTAGTCCTTTAAGATCTGATTAAGGCTAAATGGCAGCATGGATTAGACAATTTACAGGCAAAACCCAATTTGCAAATTTGCTTGAATATATGCTAGCTGATTGTGATAGTGCGGTTCATCCTTCAGTCAAAAATAACTTGAGAAAAAAAAGCCTCAGCACTGTACCTCTTTCAAATATTCTGTGGGACCACTTCACTTGTTGGGGGCAGGTCAAATGCAGGTCCAAAGGAGGTCAACGCCAGATTAAATGCAAATGTTACTGAATTCTGAATGATCTCAAAATGATGTCAAACTGATGTTGTCGACATCCTGACCTCAACAGGCTATTAGAGTCTTTGTATGATCATTTATGATTTTTGAGAAATAATTATTTCACAGTACATGCAGCTAAAGAGGTCATGGGTGGCTTGATTTAAAGCTGTTTTACTGCTTTTTAAGAATATGTGAATACATTAATGTCTATAATCTGGGAACGGATATACTTGCTCCATAGATATTGTACAGGGAGTGATTATTATCACCCTGGGACAAGAAGTGTGTTTTTGGTAGGTTCTGCAGTCACCAAATCTAAGAACTGGTAAGCTGCAATATATAACATTTTTGTGTTTTACCTTAGATTGATAGAAGTGATTTAAGAAACGTCAATTTATTTGCCATTCAGATATTTATTCCTTATACTTTTACACGTGTCCTTTACATTTATTACACTGTGATGTCCAAATGACTTTCACACTTCAGTTCGTTAATCGTGCATAATGGCTTTTTTTATGCAAACACCCCAGAAATGTCCTGAGTGACTTTGGCTTATGTTATTTGTTTAAGTAACAATGTTCATTCTCTTACAAAGGAATTGTGTTTAGGACATACACTTTCACCCCCAGCAGGAGTGAACAAACATTAATTTAATCATGTAGTTAATGATTAATAGAGCTGCCAGCTCACACAGCAGACCCTGTGAAGCAGGGTTATGACAAACCAAGGGCTGTTTCATTAATAAACTATGTGTTATCCATGGAGCATCCATACCTTTAAAAAGTCATCAGCTGTCTGATTTAAAAACAACTTATATAACATATGTATATCATTAAAACAGTGTCATACACACATATTATATCCCTTTCTATACATTATACAGGATTGTAGACTTAAGGGATAAGTCAGTTTTAAAAAAAAAATCAATAAATGCCCATTTGTTTGCAGTTAAAAAAATGTGCATTTACTTTTTTTTTTTTTTTTTTTTTTTGAGCCTGGAAAGCATTGCACCAGCGATCATAGTTACATAGTTAGTCTGGCTGAAAAAAGACAAAAGTCCATCCAGTTCATCCATTAAAAAGTTATAATCTTACACCCACAGTTGATCCAGAGGAAGGCAAAAAAACCCAGCAAAGCACGATCCAATTTGCTCCTGCAGGGGCAAAATTCCTTCCTGATCCCCCGAGAGGCAATCAGATATTCCCTGGATCAACTTTACCTATAAATGTTAGTATCCAGTTATATTCTGTGTATCTAAGAAAGAATCCAGGCCTTTTTTAAAGCAATCCACTGAGCTGGCCAGAACCAACTCTTGAGGGAGTCTATTCCACATTTTCACAGCTCTCACTGTGAAGAAACCTTTCCGTGTTTGGAGATTAAATTTCTTTTCCTCCAGACGTAAAGAGTCAGACTATCAATGTTGCCATGCAGAACTGCAAATTGTCAGTGTATTGGTGTGCCCGTACATCACGTATGGGCAAGCAGATACAGTCTGACAGGAAGACTAATGCAGGCCATAGATGGTTCGTTTATCGGCCGATTTTTCATCCGAAAGATTTTTGCACTGTTAGTGGGGCAATGGCATCAGCTGATTTTCGTGGTTCCTCCTCATTTCGTTTATCAGTCATGCTGGAAAACTCACGAAAAAACGGGCGATTTTCGAAATCATTGGTGGCAACATCGGATTACAGAACGAACGATGTTTAATTTTTTGGACGAAAAATCATCCGATAAATGAACCGTCTATGGCCTGCATTAGGCCTCATTCACACCATACGGGCAGAAAAACTGATGCTCAGATTTCACTTGCAGAGACATCAGTTTACATCAGTTTTCATGCACGCTTCAATGAGTTATACACGTTGCAGATTCCTGCACATGATGCTAGTGTTGTGATGTGAACAGGGCACATAGAAAACATAGAGATTTTGTTATGCTCCTGCAGAACGCGTTCAGATAAACTGACATCTCAGCATTATGGTGTGAATGAGTCCTCAATAAACTACTATAGTGCTCAACAGCGCTGTGTTAGTTCATTGAGAACTACAAGCTGACATCTGCAAAGGCTGTAGTCCACTCACAGAACTCTGTGAATGAATGACATGGCCGTGAGTGGCTGTTTTCAAAACAGCTAGTACGGGGAACTTCTCCCCGGACTGCTGTCACAGGGAGGAGGGGAGGGCAGGATCAGGCAGCAGCTGCTACCTAGCTTAAACTCCCTGGCGGTCTGATTATGTCAGTATATCTGTGCTCAAAGCAGTTCTTTGCATGGAAATATGTTGTTTTTTTATTGTAGGCCTGTAATTCTTAGGAATAACTCACTCAAATCTGTCCGAGCAAGAGCTAGACATCCCGGGTATGATAAAACTTGAAACATGAAATCATCATAAATTATAATATAATAAATAATCATAAAAAATAATAATATAATAATAAATTTAATTCAATAATATAATCAAACCAAAAACACTGACATTTGAAATATAGCGCCAAGTTCGCACATCACTGATCTTAGACGCAAAATCGTTTTCAGTGTCTGATGACGAATTTCCCCACGAATCATTATCACTCAATTCTGCAAGTGGTTCTGATTTACTATCGCTGTTCTCTAGCTGGTCTAAAACCGATTTTGACCTAAAGGGACGCTTTTGTGACGCCATGGACATTTCTCAGTTTCCAAGCACAAAGAACAGTAAAAATGCAGGCAGGGCACAGGACAAAGTACTAGGGACAAAATGTATGTGAAATGCTTTGATACAGTAATGTTATACTATGTGATTTTAGTGTATTGAGTGGATGTAAAATTAAAAAATGTTTTCAATACCCACCGCTTCCGTCCCCCGTACATCCCGATGCTGACAGGGAACGGAACCCGGAAGACGGATGCCGGCATCAGCCGGTGGACATGGCTGGGGACGCTGCAGGGGGAACATCACAGGACAACGTAAGTCCTTGAGGGATCCCAGAGCAACGCTGCAGTGTAATCCCGAGTGTAGCTTGGGGTTACAGCTTCTGGTACTGAAATGTATCCTCGAGCTACCCTCGGGAATACCGCAAGGGGGGGTTTAAGTGGAATGTCACTCTCTCTCAATCAGCAGGAGCTAGGTTTAATCCCTATGCTGCTAGCATTAGTAAATATATAGGAAACTATATCAGATTTACTTGTTTTAAACTTTTTTTTATTTACATTTCTTCAGTTACTTCCTGGTTTCATGCCTAGGCAAATTATGTCATACATCCCAGGACTCTTCAGGAGGGGAGGGAGGGTTCTCAGCTCAGCCAATGCCTGAGCCAAGGGCATATGGATTCCAGGAAGGAAATGCAAACTGCGGCCCGAGAGACGGATGTGGCCCTTTGCTAGCCTTTATCAGACCCTTGGCTAGCCTTTATCAGGCCCTTGGGGCACTATTCCTCCCAATGATATGAAGCAGTATTCCTCCCACTGACACCAACAATGGGGCACTATTGATAACACTCATGTGGTACTATTCCTCCCATTAATACCAATGATGGGGCACTACTCTTCATCCTACTGACCACCATACCTGAGGCCATGTTTATTCTCACTGATGCTGGGCCGAAACATTTTTTACTCCCACTGGCCACACTCCGTCCCTCTTAAAGTCTGAAGGACCATAAACCGGCCCTTTGTTTGAAAAGTTTGGAGACATCTATGCTACATCAATCATCTGCCCTTACTCAAGATGGCCACTGCCAGAAATGCCAGGTGTTTTTCAAAATAATTTCTCAGCAAAATAAAGCATGGAGACATGGATGGATAGAGGAGTTTGCTTTGAATATTAACAATGAATTAAATAGCATTTATGGTTTGTGGTGCTCAAATGCAGTGCAGTTCCACTTTAACTAGTTGCCGACCGCAGATAGCCGAATGACGGCTAAACTGCGGCCGGCCAGTTCTGAGTGGACGTCATATGACTTCCTCCCAGAACGCGCTCTCCTGTGCGCCAATCACACCGGCCTTTTACCACGTGATCAGCGGTGTCCAATGACACGCTGATCAGAGGGAAATGCAAGTGCAGGTTCTCGGCTGCACTTTCCTCACGCTGTCAGATCGTGAGGAAAGTACTGCCAAGAACCGGCAGTTGTCAGAGCGGGGATCGGCACCGATCATCAGGGCACTGATGATCAGTGCCCTGATGATCGGTGCCCAGCAATGCCACCCGCAAGTTCCGCCCACCTGTGCCCAGCAGTGCGCCCACTAGCTCCGCCCACCTGTGCCCAGCAGTACACCCACCTGTGCCCAGCAGTACACCCACCTGTGCCACTCTGCCGTGTCACACACCTGTGCCCAGAAGTGCCACCTACCTGTGCCCAGCAGTGCCACCCACCGGTGCCCACCCACCTGTGCCCACCAGTGCCACCCACCTGTGCCCACCCACCAGTGCTGCCCACCAGTGCCACCCACCAGTGCAGCCCAGCAGTGCTGCCAGTCAGTGCCACCAGTCAGTGCCCAGGGGTTGTGCCAGTCAGTGCCGCCAGTCAGTGCCCAGCAGTGATGCCAGTCAGTGCCGTCTATCAGTACCCATCATCAGTGTCACCTATCAGTGCCGCCTATCAGTGCTGCATATTAGTGCCGCCTATCCGTGACACCTCATTAGTGCTGTCTATCTGTGCCGCCTATCCGTGCCACCTCATTAGTACTGCCTATCAGTGCCCTTTAGTGCTGCCTATCAGTGCCCATCAGTGCCGCCTATCAGTGCCCATCAGTGCTGCCTCATCAATGCACATCAGTGAAGGAGAAAAAATACCTGTTTGAAAAATGTTATAATAGAAACAAAGAAACTTTTTTTTTTTTTTTTCACATTTTTTTCACTTTTTAAATTTATAGCGCAAAAAGTAAAGCGCGCAGTGGCGATTAAATACCACCAAAAGAAAGCTCTATTTGTGAGAAAAAAATGATCAAAATTTCATATGGGTACAATGTTGCATGACCGCGCAATTGTCAATCAAAGTGCGGCAGCGCTGAAAGCTGAAAATTGGCCTGGTAAATAAGGGGGTATAAGTGCCTGGTAGGCAAGTGGTTAAAGATCATCCATTAACTTTGCCTAAAAATTGCTGAGACTAGATAGTAACATAGAGTAAGAATTGTTTTCAGTGAGTTAGCCAACATGTGCTGGCATTAAGAGGAGCTATAAAGCACAACCAGCATGTAGAACAGCAAAGCAGGAGGCAGCCAGCATAATTAATCGGGAGGAAGTAGAGAAGAGACGTTGGTGGAAGTGGCAGCAGAGGAGCTTCTTCCCCTAGGAAAGGGTTGTCAAATTGGTGGCCCTCCAGTTGTTGCAAAACTACAAGTCCCATCATACCTCTGCCATTGGGAGTCATGCTTGTAACTGTCAATCCTGCAATGCCTCATGGAACTTGTAGTTCGGCAACAGCTGGAGGGCCGCCAGTTTGACACCCATGCCCTAGGAGGACCCCTTTACCTGTTTTATAAAAGCCCTTATTCTGGAGTCCAGTCCCTACTCATGGTTTCCTGAGATCCCCCACAAGGATCAGCACAAACGCTACTATACCAGTGACACTCTGGTGAATGTACCCCCATAAGAGGTGGTGGATTTCCGCTTTGGATCATCAACACTTTTGAATATCCCACTTGGTATTGCTGCACCTTGTAGTACCACAGATTTTCTTCCCTAAATGAAGAACACTTATTTCTGTTGGCATTTCTGTTATTTGTAGTACCACGGACTATTCATGTATATCACATATTGATTGCTGAGATTTGTAGTGACACGGACAATTTCATTTAATTTTTGATTTTTAAGGTTTGATATGTTTATCCAGTTTATATCACAGTGCTATTGTATGCTCACTATATTCACTTAAGCACTTTATTATTGCATTGGAGAATTATTTTTTAGTGTTGCACTTTTATCTGTATTTGGTATTATGGGTTTCGTTACCTTTGCCCAATTTGTGCTAGCAGCTACTTTACTTTCTGCGCTCGCCTTACATCTTGCAGCATAATTAATGAGCAAATATGGCTATCCTGTGTATAAACTATACCCTGAAACAAGGGTTTTATAGACAAAAATATCTGCACCAAGCTGAGCTCATAGGAATTAGGAGCTAATCAGGCTCTGATGCCTGCATGTGCTGACAGCGAACATGTTAATAGGAGGAATAAGCACATGGATGACCTCACCAGTGTGTTGCCTCCCCACCATTGTCTAATCCACAGACTGGGGGTGTTGTATTACCACTGTTATCCTCCTTGCTGTGTTGTTGCTGCTGCCGCAGAGGCTAACAAGAACCACAAGGCAAACAGAATTTCAAACCTTTTAACAGCTAATAAAGTCCCCAGATATGTATTTAAACTGTGTATCTCCATTCTAAGAACTCTAATTAAAATGAAACCTGCTATTGAAAAAAAATATAATATATCACATGTTCAACAACAGGATGGTTTTCCAAAAACTGTGCATTTTATTGTTATTGTTAAACAGCAGTCCAAGCATCTACCTGAATTGACTAGAAAAACCTGGGAGGATAGAGTCATCAGCTGCAGCAGGGAGAAGCATTTTCTCAGTCTCCCGTACCCTCTTGACCTTTAATCCTGATGCACACTGCTGTTTTTTCCAGCTGCTGTTTTTGGCTTTTGACATTTTTTTTCTACAGCTAGTAAACCCCCCAGCATGTTATCCTATGTGTCCATGCACACAGACTGTAATCAGCATTTTTTATCTGTAAAAACGCTCTAATGCTTTTTTTGAGCAAAAAAAAAAATGGGGGGGGGGTTAAAAATGCAAATGCAGAAAAACGCGGAAAAACATGGCTAAACACTAATGCAAAAATGCTAAAAAAACGCTGAAAAACTTGCATTTGTAATGTGACTTTACACAGCTAATGCTACCAGCATTATCAAGACGCCCAAAGTGCATGGAGCCTTATTATTATTATACAGTATTTATATAGCGCCAAAAGGTTGGCTCAGCGCTGTACATTATAGTGGGGGACCAGGGGCGAACTGACAACTCATGGGGCCCCCGGGCAAAAGGGGATCATGGGGCCCCTGTGTCCTTGCCCAAACTCAAAAAAGCCTATGAAAAAGGTACCAGGGGCATCTCATGGGGCCCTCTACTGACCCCAGGCCCTTGGGAAGTGACCGAGTTTCCAAATGGTCAGGCCGCCCCTGTGGGGGACAGTACATGAGACAATACAGTAACAAAACAATATACAAGGGGTTCGAGGGCCCTGCTCTTTCGATCTTTCAATCTAGGAGGCTATGCAGGCCATAGACAGGACGTTTATCGGCCGAATTGTTGGCCGAACGAAAAATCGTCCGATATTCACACCGTTAGTGGGGCAATGTTGCCGGCCCATTTTGCGGTTCTTGTCGTTTCTTTTTATCAGTCATGCTGGAAAATCTACGAAAAACGGACGTTTTTTGTAAGCATTGGTGGCAGCATTTGTGGCAGCAACGACCGATTTTACATTTATCGGCCGACAATTCGGCTGATAAACGTCCCGTCTATGGCCAGCCTTATACTGGAGCACAATAAAGTCAGGAGAGGCAGCAGCAGAAGTGAGACAACACAGCCAAGAACTGCACATGTAGGCATCTCTATGCGGCATCTTATTACTGATTCTGAATGATGCCTGAACATAGATATCCTTCTTGGAAGAAAGGCAAATGGAGGCATTGTTTGGGAGAGTTCTGTCATCTCTGTAGGAGGTAACAAATACCAGTGAGGCTCCTTGCACAGGGGGGTGTCTAGCTGCTGTGCATTTCTCTAGGCGTTTTAGTGGGCCCAGTGGTGTATTTTGGTTTTGTGCTGCCCTAGGCAAGACTGAAATCGGGCACCCCCCCTCCATTTAAATTTGCCCCACTCCTTCCTGTTTAAGACACACCCATTCATCTTTAATCTCCACCCTTCCTCTTTAGGCTCCACCTCTTCCTATTAGAGCTTCGCCCGCTGACAACTACGGGATGCTAGTCCTCCCAACGACAACAACGGTGGGGTACTATTTCTCCCACTAACATGCTACTCCCACACTCCTCCCAACGACAACCCCAACGGTGGTGGAGGAATACTCCATTTCTCCCCTTCACTGGAAGGAATAGTGTCCCACCATTGATGGAAGGAATAGTGCCCCACACTATCATTAGGTCAAGGAATAGTGCCCCATCATTAGTAGTGCAGTGGAAGGAATAGTGTCCCAGCAATGGTGTCAGGGGGAGGAATAGTGCCTCATCATTGGTGTCAGTGGTAGGAATAGTGCCCTATCATTAGTTCCCCCATTATTGGTGTCAGTGGGAGGAAGTTCCCCCGTTAGTGTCCCCCATCATTGGTGTCAGTGGGAGGAATAGTGCCCCATCATTGGTGTCAGTGGGAGGAATAATGTGTCAGTGGGAGGAATAATGTCCCATCATTAGTGTCAGTGGAAGGAATAGTTCCCCATCATTGGTGTCAGTGGGAGGAAAAGTGCCCCATCATTGGTGTCAGTGGGAGGAAATGTGCCTCCTCATTGGTGTCAGTGGGAGGAAAAGTGCCCCCTCATTGGTGTCAGTGACACCAATGATGGAACACTAATACTCCCACACTGACACTAATGATGGGGCACTATTACTCCCACTGACACTAATGATGGGGCACAATTACTCCTTTTTTAGCAAATACATATAGCAGAATACAGTTGGCCTAAATTTATGACGAAATTAGATTTTTTAAATTTTTTCATTGGACATGTTTAATAGCAAAAAGTCAAAAACATTGTTCCTTTTTCAAAATTGGCAGTCTTTTTTTGTTTATAGCACAAAAAATAAAAACCGCAGAGGTGATCAAATACCACCAAAAGAAAGATCTATTTGTGGGGAAAAAAAGGACATCAATGTCATTTATGTACAGCAATGCATGACAGCGCAATTGTCACTTAAAGTAATGCAGCACTGTCTCGCAAAAAATTACCTGGTCAGGAAGGGGGGTACATCCTCTGAAGAGCAAGTGCACAGAATGCCTGGAATGTCCCTGAATTCATTGTGCAGGACACACAATTGCCCCTCGGTATAGCATTCAGCCCCATTGAGCTGCAGCCTGCCATAGACTTTGATGGATTGAAGGCTGGACCTGTCCATTCCTAAAATGCCAGAAGGGATGCACAGCAGCTAAGCCAGCACAAGGAGTCTTAAGTGTTGAGCTTACACATTATTTAGCACGCATGAAAAACATCTGATGCTAGGTCCAATTGAATATGCTAACAGACAGCTGACCCTAGATTCCCACCTAAGCGTTTTCCACAGCGTTTTGCAGAAACGCAGTACAGTCCATTTAACATGATTTCCTATGGGAAAAGTTCACGTCTCCCCGTTTCCACCCGGTGCGTTTTTTGGAAAGTGTCAGGGACTTTTTTTAACACAAAAAGTTGCGTTTTTGTTTCTACAGACTTCAATGGAAATGCTGCAGAAAATCATGTATTGCGTTTTTGATGCATTTTAAATCCGCCTAGCAACAAGAAAAATGGAGAAAAAAAACGCAAAAAGCGACAAAAAAGCAAAACGCAAAATGCAATGCAGAA